AATAAAATAATAAAGTAAAAGTAATAATCTAATAAAAAATAATTAAAAAAAAGGAATTACAAAAATTAACTAAAATAAATTAATAATCCAATAATATAATATTTATCATGATATAAATATTATTTACTAAAAACTATATGTATTGATATATAATAATTCAATAAAAAATAAATATTCCAACAAAAAAAAGGGATAATGTCGTAAAAAACCTTAAGTTTAGTAGAAAATGTTGGTTTTACCTTTTCGGCAGATTTTTGGTTCGTTTATACCGCAAACTTGTCATTTTTTTGTCGGTTTTACCCTTGTTACCTGCAATAACAGGTTTCCAGGTTACTATGAATTATTTTTTGCGAAAAAACCCTTAAGTTTACAAATATTTTGCAAAAAACCCTTAATATTATAAACATATAAAATATAAATATATATTCAAAATTTGATAAAACTAAATAGTTTTCTATTGAAAAAAATTAATTGAATGTATTTGATGTCATATTATTCATATTAACTATTTTAGCATAATTAATTATTAACTACTAAATGTTTTTTAATTTTGTTTTGAAAAGTTGAAGTATTAATTAAGAAATATATTCAAATTTTGATAAACCTATGTATTTTTTAAAATTTAAATATAAAAACTTTGTATCGAACAAATATAAAATTTACCATACATAAAAATAAAAATATGTTTAAGTAGAAAACTATTTAGTTTTATAAAATTTTGAAATATATTTATATTTTATATGTTTATAATCTTAAGGGTTTTTTTGCAAAATATTTGTAAACTTAAGGGTTTTTTCGCAAAAAATAATTAATAGTAACCTGAAAACCTACTATTGCAGGTAACAAGGGCAAAACCGACAAAAAAATGTCAAGTTTGCGGTATAAACGAACCAAAAATCTGCCGAAGGGTAAAACCGATATTTTCTGCCAAACTTAAGGGTTTTTATGACATTATCCCTAAAAAAAATAAACGAAATCAACTAAAATAAATTAGAAATGCAATAAAAGAATATTTATTAATATATAATATTATATATTAAAAATAATATCTATTATTATATAATACTTCAATCAAATAAAGAATATATGCAAAGATGGTCCTTATAGTATGGTAAAAGACAAAACTACGAAAATGGTCCCTGGGGGTAAAATTGTCATTTTAAGGAACTTTACAACCAACTAACGGACGAGGGATCAAAACCACAACAAAACTTGTTGAAAAGGACCATATCTGCAAATTTTCAAACGTTTGGACCGTAAACACATAAAATAAGAAACCACAGGGACCATTTTTGCAGTTTTGTCTTAAATATTAAAAAAGTTCCTAAAAAATGTAAAAATATCGATTATAAAAGACCAAAAGTGTCAAAATGGCTAAAAAAAATGACCAAAATTGTCAAACCGTTAAAGTTTTGTGGCCAAACTTTAAATATTAAAAAGGTTCCTAAAAAATATAAAAATATCGATTATAAAAGGCCAAAAGTATCAAAATGGCTAAAAAATAAGGACCAAAGTTGTGAAACCGTTAAAGTTTTGTGGCCAAACTTTTAAATATTAGAAGGTTCTTAAATAGAAAATGGATCAAAGTTGTCAAACCGTTAAAGTTTTGTGGCCAAACTTTAAATATTAAAATGTTCCTAAAAAATATAAAAATATCGATTACAAGGACCAAAAGTGTCAAAATTGCTAAAAAAGGAAGACCAAAGTTTTCAAACCGTTAAGTTGTCAAACCGTTAAAGTTTTGTGGCCAAACTTTAAATATTAAAAGATTCCTAAATAGAAAAGAGATCAAAATTGTCAAACCGTTAAAGTTTTGTGACCAAACTTTAAATATTAAAAGTTTCCTAAAAAATGTAAAAATATCGATTACAAGGACCAAAGGTGTCAAAATAACTAAAAAATAAGGACCAAAGTTACCAAAATACAGGGACCAGTTCTGCCACAAAAACAACATAAATTCCAGGGACTAAAATAGATAAAAAAAAATTATGCAAATTCACTATTCATAATCATAAGTAACAATTTCCATAATATATATATATATATATATATATATATATATATATATATATATATATATATAGATAGATAGATAGAGAGAGAGAGAGAGAGAGAGAGAGAGAGAGAGAGAGAGAGAGAGAGAAATAGAGAGAGGTGGGTTCAATTGAGAAAATAAAAAAGGTTGAGAATGAGGGAATCATTCTCAGCCACTCATTTTATTCAAGCATAAAAAGAGACGGTGACAAACTTGTAAATATGAGAACAACCTTTAATCTCAAATACGTATCTGTAGTTCAAACCTATTCATCGTTTATCATCCAAATTTCTTCTCCAATTTTCAACAATCATCCAAACTTCTTCAATTAAACCATAATCAACATCATCCAGTGCTAATCAATCATCGATCTTCGTCAATAATCAACTCGATTCAACAGTTAGCAAAAAAAATTCGTTTTTGGTTCTTTTAATTCAACCTTCAATTGTGCTTGAATACGATCAGATCTTCAACATCTATGATTAATTATACTCCCAACGTTATTAGATCAACATCATCGATAATCAACAAAAATCCACTTCATATCATTCATTCAACATCGATTACCAAATAAAACTTGAAAATTGAGGTTAGAAAAATATCAAATCGTTTTTTTTTTTTGAAAAATTTCATATAATTCTCTATCAATCTACTATTTTGTAGATTTAAATAGTCAAAAGATCATGTTTCTAACATTTTTAAAAAAAGTTAAATTGTATGCACTCCAACTGTTTGATGGAATGCATGAACTAAATTAGCACGTTATATTTATATATGAATATGTTTTCTCAGTATATGATTATTAAAACAAAAAACCAAAATATGCAAGTCTGTATGTTATTCATATGTGAATAACATATAAAAATTATATATATTTGTGAAAATACCTTGTAATATACATATGTGAATATACTGTGTAATATTCATAAGTGAATATATCATCTAATATTCACAAATGAATATACTATGTAATATTCACATGTGATATACCATGTAATACTATGTAATATTCAGATATGAAAATATTATCTAATATTCATAAGTGAATATACCATCTAATATTCACAAGTGAATATACTATGTAATGTTCATAAGTGAATGCATCGTCTAATATTTAAATATGAATATACTATGTTTATTATATGCTATATTCATATATGAATGATACTTAAACTGTAAAAAAAAAAAAAATTAATCATAGTTTTTATTCATAACTGAATAACGAATGTACTGTAGTAAAAATCTGATTAATTTTTATTCACTTATGAATAACGATAACTGAACATATAAAAAAAATAAAAATTTTATTTTATCTTAAAAGTATATCAATATAGATGTCTATTTGTAGAGAATAAAAAATCATGAATTTTGGTATATTTAAAATCATTTTTCGATAAAAATAGCTTCTTAAAAATTAAAAAAAACAAAAAAACTATGTTTTTGTATAAATTAAGGTAACGATTAGCATAGTTTAAGGAAACATGTTTTGTGCGAAACACACATGTCTATTCCTTTCCCATTTCTCCTGGTACGACGGAGGCTTTTGCGACAAAAATAAATGAGTGGCTGAGAATGATTCCCCCATTTTAAACCTTTTTTTTTTCTCAATTAAACCCTCCTCTCTCTCTCTCTCTCTCTCTCTATATATATATATATATATATATATATATATATATATATATATATATATATATATATATATATATATATATATATATATATATATATATATATATATATATATATATATATATATATATATGAAAAAGAACACAAACATGGCAATTACGTGGATTTTCCCAAATGTTGACTTGACTAAATAACTACTTTTGATAAATGACATTTGGACTAAGCTAGTAGTTCTTAAACCACAATTGACATTTCACCGCCCACCTAACAATAACATATACTTTCTTCGTCCATCAAGAATTATTCAAGGGTAAACGCCTAACTTTCTATCATTCTATGATAAAATAGAAAACATAAATCACAATAATCATTAGTGTAAACTGCTTGAGTCCTTGTGAGATTGGTATAGTTTTTGATTTGGCAAAAAGTAATCCTTCTTTAGATTTCAGATGTTTTATTCCGTTTCCCACGTTTATATTGTAAAGGTAAATATGTCGAGTCACTTCTAAAATCACAAATTCTATTCATTATATATGTTAGGTAAATGGTATAAAGTCACATTATATATATATATATATATATATATATATATATATATATATATATATATATATATATATATATATATATATATATATAATTTTAAAAGTCGCTAGGCGGTGATCAGTCGGTCGGCTGAGGTTAATGGGCTAATTGGTATACGTGGAGATTAATCGGCGCTAGGGGGAGACCCTTAATTGTAATATTATTTGTTTTTTTTAAACAAATTAAATATTACATATATCCTAACAAAATAACTAATTAAGCATAAAATTTTAGCATATTCAGACGTCTAAATATTTAAATCATTGTAATAATTATAGATTAAGTGGGGAGCTTTTTAACAGTTTTAGTCATTAATCATCATAATTTAGTCACCCAATATCATAAATTTGACTAATTGAAGTTTTTTTTTTGAAAATTTTAACCATCTGACTTTTATATTGGTTTAGACCACCTAGGACCGACTCCGCCTGACTCGATCAACTAGCATTAATCGTAGACAGTAAGAGGCCACATAGGTGGCCACCTGGGCCGATTTTCACAACACTGATATATATATATATATATATATATATATATATATATGGGTAAATTACACGGATGGTCCCTATGGTTTAGGGTAATCTGCGTGCTTGGTCCCTAACAACTTTTTTTTTTAACTCGGAGCATCCTTATTTTATATTTTTATTACACGTCTGGTCCTTATCAGATGTAAAAAGACTACTTTGCCCTCATCTATTTTTTAAATTAATTTTTTATTTATTTAAACAGTGAAATATAATAAAATGAAAACTCATCCCCCTGCCCCCACCCCACCCCACCCCTCCTTATGTCCATCCATCTGAAAACAACCTCCGGCCACCACTGCTACTATCCTCCGGTTACCTCCATCGGCCACAATAAGAACAAAACCAAAGTTACAAAAGAAATATGTAACATCGGAGCCCAGGTAAGCAAAAGTGATGTAAAAATCTGCACAAAAAATCCAGAAAATGGAATTAGAATTCTTTATCCCCTTCGATTAAATATGATCTTCATCATCATCATCTTCGATAACAATCATGACCATGACTATCTCCTGTAGCCACCATCGTCTCCGACATCTTCCAACAATGGTGCTAGCTTCTACAATTTTCAGAGGATGAAGCTAATGAATATCAAACCAAATCAAAACCCAAACCAAAATTAAATTGTTACCTTGTAATCAAAATTGAACAAAATCAAAATCAAAATGTTGAAAACCAAAACCTCATGAAAATTCTGAATGCAAAAAACAAGCGAGGGTTCCAGATTCATCATTTTCCTCGCTTGAACCACCATCTGAAATCATCGATGAAATACACCATGATTAAACCTAGAACCTTCATCTCTACTTTGCTACCCCTTTTGAGCCTGCCTAGTTCGACCATCTTCTTCGACAACCCCAATCTGAGTCATGTTCTCATAACTACTATTACTCAGAAATTGAAAAGCGCCAGCACCCTTTCGGAGAAATCAAATTTCTTTTTTGTGGTTCCTATGAAAAATTAAGTTTCTGAAAATTTCTACTCAGATATGCAGTAAATCGAAACAAAATGAAGAAATCCCATGATTCTGGTTCGACGGTTCAATGAATTCCTACGTCGTGTTTTACCGGTGAGTAAAGGATCGAGAGCTCTAATCGGAGAGGGGAAGAGGCAAAGATGATGAAGCTTCGTGGGTCAAGTTTTTCTGGTGAGAAAAGGAAGAAGACAGAGAGGTGCATCGAAGATGGAGTTTCATTATCTCTAGCAGTAGCCCTACGGATTCGTTGGCGAGATTGGAGGAAGGGATGGGGACGAAGAAAGGAATAAGGGGAAAGCAACTTTTCCTTTTTAGGGTGTACGATTAGATTAAAGGTTAATGATTTTTTTAATTTTAATTTTATATTTATTTTATATATAAATAAATCAGACATATAAAAGAAAATAAAAAATAAGGGTAGTATAGTCATTTTAGGTCTATGAGGGACCCATCACGCAACAAAAATATATCCTAGGGACCGTCCGAGTTAAAAAAAGGTTTTAGGGACCAAACGCGCAGATTACCCCAAACCACAGGGACCATTCGTGTAATTTACCCTATATATATATATATATATATATATATATATATATATATATATATATATATAAAAGACACAATTTAATACAGTCCCTTTATAATTTAATACATAAAATTCAAAACTTAATATAATCTATTTTACATTAAATCAAAGATTCAGAGAAGTGAAACTCAAACTCTACCAATACCACCAACTAGCACATACCACCACCAACCACCTATTTTACCGTTGCAACCATCATACCTTTCAAATAAGATCTCTTTACAATAAATCATGCATTGACATCTTAAATACTATATTTAGAGTTTAATAAACCTATTAATTGACTAATTTAGAATTTAAATCAAAACAATTAAAAAACTTATACATTCTTATATATTTAAGCAACACAAAAAATAAATATATTCATAAGAAAATTAATAAAAACATTCATACATAAATCATTCTATTAAAATTTCATAGCTTAATAAAGTCAATTCATAGCTTAATACAGTTAATTTACAGTTTAATATATAAAACTCGCAGTTTAATACACAAAAACTATACATTCACAACCATATTCTCAACTTAAAACTTATATAATGAAACTGGATAACTACATTGTTTAAGTATATTGTTATTTTATTCTAGATTAGGGTCCAAGGTTATCCTATCAATTATAGATAGCACCGCTTGGGTTCTCAATTTTCGTCTACTCCTACATATATTCAGAAGAGCTGAATTTCTACTATCCTATCCTCTTTCATCTTGTGTTCTTTTTGTTAGGGTTTAGGTAGAAACCATTAGAGACATCATCTCTTTGGTACTAGGCTTTCAAAGTTCAACAACTACAAGGATTGGTGTGATTTATTTACAATAACAAATAAAAAGGTATGTAACCCAAAACTTGGTGTTTTTGAGATTCATTAGGGTTATGCTAGGTTTACTTGTTCATTGTATGTTGCTTTCAAGGTGTATGACATAGACCCATTATATGATGCATGTACCATATTAATTGTTAATTGTTTTCCGCATTGTACGTGTTTTGTTTTCTATAAACCCATCAGTGGTATAAGAACTTTGGCTTATCAAACATTGACTGCACATGAGATGAACTGAAACAAAACCTGATTTTCACAAAAACCTGTTCTCACGACGTGACAGTGCTTCTGTCACGACGTGATAATCGATTTAACAAAATTTTAGTAGTTATCTACCTAATTTGATTTATGATATTATTTTTGGTAATTATCTGGTAATGATTGTACTTGATTTAGAATTTTGAATACCTTTTGTGATAATTAATAAAACCCTAAATGTTAGGAGATATCCTTATTTTGATAAATTTTAATTAGATAAATTAGATTGAATAATCTCTTATGAATTTAATAATTAGTTTAATTATAAAGTAATTAAAAGATAATTATAAAATTCATTCTAGGTTTATATTGATTAATGAATTATATGATAATTTAGAAAATTAATGTTTAAACCTTATATTTTGAAAAGATTTAAAATACACCTTATACTATATATGATTAAATGTTTAATATATTATATGTAAAAGACACGTCAGTCAAATCAATAGTAGACCTCATTCACGAAGCCATATTTTATGAATGTGTGTCCACTCTCACCCACCGCTTCTTTGTATAGTGAATGGTCGTTAGTCGAACAAGTTTGATAAGACATAACCTCTTAAAGTATGATACTATAAAGTAACAAAACCTTTTATAAATCCCAACTCTAGTTACTTTACGACAAAATGTGAAGTGTATGCTAATACATGAAAACACAAATCACTATTTATATGTCGTTAGTAGAGCGTGCGTAGTTAACCAACACACTAATTTAGGACTATAAAACTGAGTGATGGACATATAAAAAATTATCATTTTTGATGGAGTGGGTGTGATTACCAGCACTTCAACTTGAGATAATAACTTGAGTGATGGATAGATAAAAAATTATCATTGTTAATGGAGTGTGTGTGGTTTACCAGTATGTCAACTTGAGATGATAAATTACGTTTACCGGTGAAACCCTAGATGTAGGTATGGATGCGTATGGGTTAGTTTTTAGGTAAAACCAAAGCAAACCAATGAAAGTTAGTTTTTCTATTTCATAACCCATATGTGTTCGGTTTCGACATGGGTCACTTATTCGGTTTGGGTTTATTCATGGTTTTCTGATTTTTTGGATTTTTCAGGTTCAAACCTATTGAAAGTACATTGCCACAAATGGTAAATTTAAATATACCAAGATAACTACGCAAGGGTATAAGAGTACTATAATAACTTCAATTTTCTCTCGAAACAAAACATAAATCAAACGTAGTAACATTGTTCATATTTCTTAAACATAAAATATATATAATAAATATAAATAATATTTAAAATATAATAAATATTAAATAATATATAATATGGGTTGGTTTTGTTGGTCTTTTTGGCTTTGCTAGGTGAGTTTATAATGCAAAACCGAACTGAAAAACTAATATCAATTTTTATAAAAATTCAAACTCACTCCATCGGTGTTTGTCGGATTTCGGTTTCAACTTTGTTGGTTTTTCAGTTTCTGGTTTGGTTTTTATTCATACCTAGATGTAGGATTGGATTTTAAAAAACTTTAAGGAACTTTTCATGACAAAAAAATTAAGGACTAAAAATGTTTTTATCTTAAAAAAAACCAATAGCATGAAATGTAATTTGTCTCGATTAAAAAAATAAGAGTTTGATAACATATTAACACTAAAACAAAATTGAAACTTAAGTCCAACAATAAATTGTGATTATGATATAAGAAATTGATTCTTTATATTTTGATCGTTACTATGTGACATTCGTCACGTAGGGGCAACGTTTTTTCTGGTCGTTATTCACAAGAGAATTTAGATTCTGAAAGTTAATAATTAATAAATTTAATAAATTAATTAACAATTTCATCGATGCCTGCTGTCCCAAGCTAAGACCTCTGAATTAACGGACAATTTTGAGTTCTAACAATATTATTTTATTATTATATTTACTTTTGCTAAGGAACTGATCCGTACATAAATCCATATTATATTATTATTGGAAAAGTTTTTTTTTTTTTTTTTTTTTTTTTTTTTTTTATTATTATTATTTTTTTTTATTGGATCCCTAAAATTTTACATAAATCCATTTTGACCCCTGGAATTTAAGTATGTTTGCTGACAACAACTTTCTAGAATAATATGACCATTCTTGTTGACTATTTTAGTTTCTTTCGTTGAAATAACCAACAACCTCAAACGAATTATTGCCTTTAAAGTTGATCAAACGAGAAAGTGGTGAGATGTTGGTCGGAATCATCATTCTAGAATTTTGATTGAGTTAATATTGTTTTAAACGACCAACTATTATTTAGTTCCTTAATTTTAATTTTAATTTTATAATTTTGTACTTTTAAAGTTTCGTATTTTTTTTTTTGAGTTATCTACTAAAATTAACACAAATACACAATCATGTTGTGTTCCGTAATACTATTTTCTAGAGCTGACAAAATTGTACTATGAATATATATATATATATATATATATATATATATATATATATATATATATATATATATATATATATATATATATATATATATATATATATATATATATGAAATCGTATATTTCAACTGTTAATTGTGTTTAATGTTTACAGTTTTAATAACATTATATTAATTATTTGGTCGTATTAGTTAATAGTTATTACCATGTTAAAGCATAAAATTAAAATGTTATTTTAACGTTACTTCAATAGAATTCTTTTGTAAACTAAATGAACTACGTAACTAATTTCTATACTAAACATCAAAATCCCGATGTCTTTGCTTATTTTTGAATCTTACAATAGAAAATTAAAAAAATTTGGTATATTGTATATACCATTACCAATTTGTACCAACTAAATTTGTTGGTAGCTAAATAAATTGGTACCAAATATATTTGGTACGGTACTGGTAGCAATTTTTTTATACCAATTATAGTTGGTACGGTACACGATTTAGAGAAAAATGAATTGGTACCGTACCAATTTCACCCCTACTATTTTCATGGCTTCCTCACATGGTCGGTCCTGAGAAATTAAGGGCGTGTTTGGCAAAAATAGCTGTTAGCTGGAAGCGAGTAGCGGGTAGCTGGTAGCATGTAGCAGGTAGCTGGTAGCGGAAAACTGTAACTTTTATTTGTTATATGAATGTTTGGCAAAAGTAGCTGGATGCGTTTGAAATATATAAAATTACATAAAAAGACAATTGATTAAAAACAAATAAATATATTTTTAAGGGTAGTTATGGAAATTGATTTCAAAAGCTTAGGAGCGTTTTGTTAAACGCTATATGAAGTAGCTTTTAAAATCGGAGCGTTTTGTTAAAACTAAAAGCTAAACGCTCATAATGCCAAACGAAGTTTTTTGTTTAAACTAAAACGTTTTATCAAATGTTAAAAGCTAGAAGCTCCCAAACACTTCTAAAAGCTCCGTGCCAAACACACCCTAAATATCCTCAAAGGCCCCAAACAAGTCAGAAAAAGGGCTTTTTTTATTATTTTAAATAAACGAATCAAAGTGTCCCAAAAAATCCAAATAATATAAAACTGAAAGATGTGCACAATCACGCCTTCGCCTTGCCACGATCCTCAGAGGTACATGAAACAAAACTAAAACTAT